ACACCAACAGTGTACAGTAACAATAACTCACCAACAGTGTACAGTAACAATAACTCACCAACAGTGAACACTAACAACAACTCACCAACAGTGTACAGTAACAATAACACACCAACAGTGTACAGTAACAATAACACACCAACAGTGTACAGTAACAACAACTCACCAACAGTGTACAGTAACAATAACACACCAACAGTGTACAGTAACAATAACTCACCAACAGTGTACAGTAACAATAACTCACCAACAGTGTACAGTAACAATAACTCACCAACAGTGTACAGTAACAATAACTCACCAACAGTGTACAGTAACAATAACTCACCAACAGTGTACAGTAACAATAACTCACCAACAGTGTACAGTAACAATAACTCACCAACAGTGTACAGTAACAATAACACACCAACAGTGTACAGTAACAATAACTCACCAACAGTGTATAGTAACAACAGTGTACAGTAACAATAACTCAACAACAGTGTATAGTAACAACAGTGTACAGTAACAATAACTCAACAACAGTGTATAGTAACAACAGTGTACAGTAACAATAACTCAACAACAGTGTATAGTAACAACAGTGTACAGTAACAATAACTCACCAACAGTGTACAGTAACAATAACTCACCAACAGTGTACAGTAACAATAACTCACCAACAGTGTACAGTAACAATAACACACCAACAGTGTACAGTAACAATAACACACCAACAGTGTACAGTAACAATAACTCACCAACAGTGTACACTAACAATAACTCACCAACAGTGTACAGTAACAATAACTCACCAACAGTGTACAGTAACAATAACACACCAACAGTGTACAGTAACAATAACACACCAACAGTGTACAGTAACAATAACACACCAACAGTGTACAGTAACAATAACTAAACAACAGTGTACAGTAACAATAACCTTCCATGTAAAATAATAGGACACAAGTGCAAGTAATGTGACATTTATTGTGGCAACGTTTCGCTCTCCAGGAGCTTTATCAAGCCGTTACAAACAATACATGGACACAGAGGGTATATATAGGCTCAGAGTGAGGTGCAATACTAGTGGTAGTAGTAGTAGTAGTAGTAGTAGTAGTACAATATGTTAGAACAATTAACTTGCACATGAGTAAACGATATAAAAGCTATTACTTGGGAAACATAAAAATTGGTTAGACAAATATTTCTATTGGAGACTGGATAGAGAAGGCCTGTTTCAATGTTCATTCTCTGTAATGTGCTTGTGTAGTATTAACAGGAGAGACTATATGATGGCAGGATTTACTGTTTTCAGGAGGATTCTTGCTAAGACTTCAGAGATGGTGAAGCTGCCTTTGTGTTGTTTAATTGTATTAGAAACAGCTATTAGTGAAGATTCATGGCATTTGCGTCTACAGAAATTAGTTTCTTTGATCAATAGCTGGGCGTCCCTGAACTTCATGAGATGATTGGTGGAATTTCGGTGTTGTACACAGGCGTTGTTCAAGTTATCGTTCTTACATGCGTAGATGTGTTCATTGAGGCGGGTTTCGAGGTTTCTTGCTGTTTCACCTACATAAATCTTGTCACAGCCTCCACAGGGTATAGTGTAAATTCCTTCGTTGACTGGTTCATGGTGCTTGGATTTTGTTCTGGTTAGATCCTTTATCAAAGTGCTGGAAGCGATGGCGACTCTGGTGTTAGCTTGTGAAAGTACTTTAGAAACGTTCAGTGCAACCAGTGTGGTGCACTGCCTATTCCTGACGTGATTGGTCTGAGAGGAATATTATGTTTATGGGTCTTGGGTAAACCATACATGTGTGCTGGTTTAGGGTTGCTGGGTAACAAGTACAGAAGTTTCTTCCCTTCTCTAGTGCGTTTGAGTATTTGTCTGGTTTTGTATAGAAAATCATTGGTGAGCATCTCCCACTGTTGAGTGCTGATGGGTTCGTATGTAGACTGATCATTCAAGAGGTCCATCATTTTCTATACAAAACCAGACAAATACTCAAACACACTAGAGAAGGGAAGAAACTTCTGTACTTGTTACCCAGCAACCCTAAACCAGCACATATGTATGGTTTATCCAAGACCCATAAACATAATATTCCTCTCAGACCAATCACGTCAGGAATAGGCAGTGCTCCACACAAACTAGCCGGAGTTCTTGCCAAACATCTTTCCTGCCTTCTGGGGACCATCAGCCCCGCTCATCTTAAACATTCAGGCGACCTTCTCAACCGCACCAGAAACCTCTCCATCCGTAACAAGAAACTAAGCAGTTAGGACTTGACTTCCCTCTTCACAAAAGTACCTACCACAAAAGCCATCGAGGTTCTACGACGTAAAGTCAATCAGGACCTTAATCTTCCTCTACCTCCCGGAGATTTTGTTGACTTGATTGAACTCTGTGTTAATTTCAACTGTTTTTCTTTCAATAACAAGCTCTACAAACAAACCTACGGCATGGGGATGGGGTCCCCCATCAGTGCCGTCCTAGCCAACTTATACATGGAACACCTAGAGTCCGAACACTTCGCCAACATCATCCCTTCAAGCGTCACTTGGTTACGCTACGTGGACGACATCCTCGTAAAAACGCCCAAACGTTTTGATGTACGGGATCTTCAGGCAAGGCTCAACGCAGTTGAACCGGCGATCCAGTTTACACTAGAAGAAGAGTCCAATGACAAGCTACCTTTCCTCGACGTCCTCATTCACAAAGTAGACAACAACCTAAGATTTCAAGTTTATCGGAAACCCACCAATAAAAATGATCTCACACACTTCTATTCCAGTCAAGATACTAAGACCAAAAGAGGCATCATCATCGGGTTTTTCCTAAGAGCATAATACCGAATTTGTAGTCCTGAGTTTTTTGACGAGGAATGTACATATATTCACCGAACCTTCACAGGTTTACATTTTCCTTCCATTTTCATCAAAGACTGCAAGAAAAGAGCCCTTCAGATCATTAATTCTCCACGCACCAACACCACTCCCAAAAAAGTTATAATTCTTCCCAACAGCAAGGTCGCACTGAACGTTTCTAAAGTACTTTCACAAGCTAACACCAGAGTCGCCATCGCTTCCAGCACTTCGATAAAGGATCTAACCAGAACAAAATCCAAGCACCACGAACCAGTCAACGTAGGAGTTTACACTATACCCTGTGGAGGCTGTGACAAGATTTATGTAGGTGAAACAGCAAGAAACCTCGACACCCGCCTCAATGAACACATCTACGCATGTAGGAACGATAACTTGAACAACGCCTGTGTACAACACCGAAATTCCACCAATCATCTCATGAAGTTCAGGGACGCCCAACTATTGATCAAAGAAACTAATTTCCGCAGACGCAAGTGCCTTGAATCTTCACTAATAGCTGTTTCTAATACAATTAAACAACACAAAGGCAGCTTCACCATCTCTGAAGTCTTAGCAAGAATCCTCCTGAAAACAGTAAACCCTGCCATCATATAGTCTCTCCTGTTAATACTACACAAGCACATTACACAGAATGAACATTGAAACAGGCCTTCTCTATCCAGTCTCCAATAGAAATATTTGTCTAACCAATTTTTATGTTTCCCAAGTAATAGCTTTTATATCGTTTACTCATGTGCAAGTTAATTGTTCTAACATATTGTACTACTACTACTACTACTACTACTACTACCACTAGTATTGCACCTCACTATGAGCCTATATATACCCTCTGTGTCCATGTACTGTTTGTAACGGCTTGATAAAGCTCCTGAAGAGCGAAACGTTGCCACAATAAAATGTCACATTACTTACACTTGTGTCCTTTTATTTTACATATTGTTGGTAATTCTACCAACATTATTACAACAACTCACCAACAGTGTACAGTAACAATACCTCAACAACAGTGTACAGTAACAATAACACACCAACAGTATACAGTAACAATAACTCACCAACAGTGTACAGTAACAATAACTCACCAACAGTATACAGTAACAATAACTCACCAACAGTGTACAGTAACAATAACACACCAACAGTGTACAGTAACAATAACTCACCAACAGTGTACAGTAACAATAACTCACCAACAGTGTACAGTAACAATAACTCACCAACAGTGTACAGTAACAATAACTCACCAACAGTGTACAGTAACAATAACTCACCAACAGTGTACAGTAACAATAACTCACCAACAGTGTACAGTAACAATAACTCACCAACAGTGTACAGTAACAATAACTCACCAACAGTGTATAGTAACGACAATGTACAGTAACAATAACTCACCAACAGTGTACAGTAACAATAACTCACCAACAGTGTACAGTAACAATAACTCACCAACAGTGTACAGTAACAATAACTCACCAACAGTGTACAGTAACAATAACTCACCAACAGTGTACAGTAACAATAACTCACCAACAGTGTACAGTAACAATAACTCACCAACAGTGTACAGTAACAATAACTCACCAACAGTGTACAGTAACAATAACTCCCCA